ACCTGCAGGGCCCGATCCGGTCGCCGACGATGCGCGCAGGCCAGAGGCAGGCGCACCGGGCGCCAGCGGGCGCCTGCATGCGTTTTTGAGAGGGGTGGGGGGGGCTCCGCGCCGCGCCCTCGGAGGATTACCCCCAACACGGCACCCGGACGGCAGCAGAGGTGAAGAGGCGGGTGGAGGAGCAGGAAGTCGGCTAGTGACAGCGTGCCCACCTGGGTGTTCCCAAGGATTGCTGGGAAACGCACGGAATGCGGGCGGGGTGCTCATTTCTGCACCAGAGCCGTACGCAAGAGCGTCTGGCAAGTCGAAGGGCCCGCAGTGCCAAAAGGGTATGCTTTCGTGTGTGTAAGAGTCGTACACAGGAGTGGAGCTCTGGCGTCAGGATGAACAAAGAAATGGCACAAACCACGGCCTTGCGCACCTTGCTGTGTCTGTTACAAGAGATCGTGGCCGCAGGGGCCCACAATGTAGCCGGCATGGAGGCGAGAGCACGACTCCTGAGCACATTGGGAGGGAGTCTAAGGCGAAACGGCTGCCGGACAGGGCGGTCTGGGGCTCCCCGTCCCCACTGTGAGACTCTCCTGTGGTCGATTCAACCTCTATGAGAAACCTCCAGCGAAACGCTAGTAGGAAACTTGCCGCGGAGCGATAGAGAAGAGGGGTGGACCAGGGACCAGTGGTCGGGGTCAATCTGCCCAGCGCCCGCAGACCTTCAAGGCTGTGTCTTTGGAGAAAGATGAGCGGATGAGTCGAAGACAATGGAGGGGCGCAAAAGCTCGTCGCCATGACGACATGGACACCCGATAGCCAGGCCGCCCTTGCAGCTACGAAAGACGCGAAACGGTTCGCACCGCGGTAGGGCCATCGTCCTTCCGAAAACGGACGCCGCGGAGCGCCGTAAGGCTTCTCACAGCCCTAAGTGCTGAGTGCTGAATGGCTGCCAGATTCCTGAAGGCCCAGCCACCGACGTCTGCGATTCCCGCGGTGTGTCGCGTGAGCTCGCTTGACCGCCGAATCGCTTAACGACCTAGGGTGTCTGACCTGTTTGTCCTCGGAGAGGCGGAGAGGATGGACAGTCCAGGTGCCCAGGACGACGACCCCGAGACGCCCCCAGACGGGCGCACGACGGTCCAGGCGCACAACTGCAGTACGTATCACTGCTTATGATTTGGTTTCTTCGCCAGGCTAATGGATTCGGCTTTTCTGCTCGTTCTCTTCTTTACATATCATCAGTCGCATATCTTCCTCTCCCTCTCTGCGTCTCTCTCTCTCTCTCTCGCTCTCTGTTTATATATATATATATATGTATATATAGATATGAGTAGTTATATGTTCACGCATGTACTTGCACATGTATGCATGCTCATATATTTATGCATGTAAGTATACATATATACACATACATACACATCAGTATATACATATATATATATGTACACGTATAAATGTAATGGCATTTGGGTCCGATGTGCATGCGCACATATAAACATACAGTCAAGACTGCATTTCTTATGTGCGAATATGTGTGTATATAGGTATATACCCCACGCTCTTATGAACAAGTCCTGCTCGGTATGTCAACCATGCTGTGCCGTACCGCATTTGGGTGCATGGGTGGGTCCAATTCATGGCTTGGGGGGAGAAAGGCGCCGTGCCCCCTAGCTGACTTCTCCAAACAACGTGACCTGGTGGCCTGACGGTACCCTGCTGATCCGCGCTGCGCCCTGGTGTTTTGCTGTGCCGCGCCGTGCCGCTGGTGCCACTCGCTGCCGTGTGGGTCTCTTTGCAGAGTCCTGTCGCGGATACTTTCGACGTGGCCCGGTCTGGACACGTGACCCCCGACCGCTTGCTCCACGGCCGGGGGCGCGGAGCCTTCCCTTGGCCCGAGCCGAAGTTGTAGGTTTCGTTGATGTAGGTGCCAGTGGGCGAGCAGTAGCCGTTGGCCAGCTCGGTCCATGCCTGGGGAGCGGAGAAGAAGAAGAATAATAAGAAAAAGAAGAAGGAGAAGAAGGAAGGGACAATATCATTCATCGAATCCCAAAATCGGGTCGAACCGGAATGTGCGTCGTCGGATCGGGCTGCATCGGCACAGAATCGGAATCGACTCGAATGGGCCGCGCCAAGGTTCACAACGGCGCCGTGGAACCGTCGGGCCGCATCGGATCTTCGGGGTGTCGGGATCCGCCGACCCGGTCGGCGTGTGTGAGAGGCCTTTCGACGCGAGGCCAGCCCAACCCAAACTGAAGTACGCCAGCCTCCTTTGAATCGTCGTCGTCGTAAGGGAGATCGAACAAAAAACAATGGGGATCGAACAGTGTCGTAATTCGACAAGAAAAACCTTTTCCCTGCTGGGAGGTGGGGTCCCATGGAGGTGCCTGGGGGTTGGTCGCGGGGGGTGGTCCGGGGGAGTCCCTGCAGGGGGTCCCAATGGATGGTCCCTGGGGTGGTCCTGGGGGTCGTGACCCCCGCCTTGGGCGGTCCCCCCTGATTATGGAAACACACATGGGGCGGGCTCCCTGTCGGCAAAGGCGCTCAAGACCCCTCTCCCGGCTTGGCCCCGGCCCCTGCCCCAGCCCTGGTGCTGGCCCCGACACTCTTCTGGTGCAATTAAAAAAACGACATGCCCGAGCGCCAAAATAATTTGGCATGCATGCGCGAAAAGCAGAACAAATGGCCATGTGCACGTTTTTTACCAAAGGTGTTTGCGGAATGTCTTGTGTGATATTGCATCGTTGCGTTGTGTTGGCGTCAATGCTGACTTGCGTTGCGTAATAAGCTGCCGTTGTTGTGGTATGTGTGCAACTGCATCAGTATATTGCAAAACAACGCTCGTAGCCAACACAGGTTCGTGTGTGTTTGCCTGCTCATTTGACACGTTTTGGATGTATAGTTCGGGTTGGCATGTTTGGGTCTCGTGAAAGTAAATGTAAGAATGAACAGCATATTCTTATTCTCATTTGAATTATTACTCTTCGTGTAAATTATAGTAATAATACCAATGCCAATGGGAGTACTAATCGTATAGGTTGTAGTTGTAGTAGTAGTAGCAGTAGCAGTAGTAATACAAGTATTGGTGGTGGTACTAGTCATCGTGGTAGCAGTGGTAGTAGTAGTATTAGTCGTAGTAGTAGTAGTAGTAGTAGTATGTAGTAGTATGTAGTAGTAGTAGTAGTATGTAGTAGTATGTAGTAGTAGTAGTAGTAGTAGTAGTAGTAGTAGTAGTAGTAGTAGTAGTAGTAGTAGTAGTAGTAGCAGTGTTACTGCTACTACTACTATTACTACTACTTCGACTACTACTACTACTACTACTACTACTACTACTACTACTACTAAATCAATCATAACGCAAATAGAAACTGCTCGAAGTAGCAACAACACCTATTACTACTACTACTACTACTACTACTACTACTACTACTACTACTACTACACGAGTAACAGAACAATAACACTACTACTACTACTACTACTACTACTACTACTACTACTACTCGGAATCACAGTAGTGACAGCAGCAACAGCACCAAGAGATGTAGTCGAAGTAGTCGTAGTTATCGTCGTAGACGTAGTGCTAGTTGGATAGTAGTAGTAGTAGTAGTAGTAGTAGTAGTAGTAGTAGCAGTAGTAGTAGTAGTAGTAGTAGTAGTAGTAGTAGTAGTAGTAGTAGTAGTAGTAGTGGTAGTGGTAGTAGTAGTAGCAATAACAGCAGAAGTGGTACGTGTAGTAGTAGCGGTAGGTAGCAGCAGAAGTAGCCGTACTCGTACTAGTAGTAGTAGTAGTAGTAGTAGTAGTAGTAGTAGTAGTAGTAGTAGTAGTACTAGTACTAGTCGTAGCTGTAGTATGAGTAGTCGTCGTAGTAGTACGTGTGGTAGTGGAAATAGCGGTGGTCGTGATAGTCGTAGCAGTAGTAGTAGAAGTGGTAGAAATAGTGAACATAGTCGTATCAGTAGTACAAGTAGTAGTAGTAGTAGTCGTAGTCGTAGTAGTAGTAGTACCCCTACAAGTTGTAGGAGTAGTCGTAGAAGTACTAATCGTCGGAGTAGTGGTGGTAGTAGTAGTAGTAGTAGTAGGTGTAGTAGTAGCAGTAGTAGTAGTAGATGTAGTAGTAGTAGTAGTAGTAGTAGTAGTAGTAGTAGTAGTAGTAGTAGTAGTAAAAGTAAAAGTAGTAGTGGTAGTAGTAGTAGTAATACTATGAGTAGTAGTAGTAGTAGTAGTAGTAGTAGTAGTAGTAGTAGTACGAATAGTAGTAAAATAGGTGGCAGTCGCAGTAGTAGTAGTACTAGTAGTAGTAGTAGTAGTAGTAGTAGTAGTAGTAGTAGTAGTAGTAGTAGTAGTGGTAGCAGCAATAACACTAGTGGTCGTAGTCGTAGTAGTAGTAGTAGCCGCAGTCGTAGTAGTAGTCGTAGTAGTAGTCGTACTAGTGGTAGTAGGTGGTAGTAGTAGTAGTAGTAATAATAGTCGTAGTACGTAGTAGTAGCAGTAGTAGTAGTAGTAGTAGTAGCCGCAATCGTCGTAGGAGCCGTAGGAGCCGCAAATCACAATTCGTAGTAGTAGTCGTAGTGGTGGTAGTAGTTGTAGTAGCAATCGTAGTAGTAGTAGTAGTAGTACTAGTAGTAGTAGTAGTAGTAGTAGTAGTAGTAGTAGTAGTAGTAGTAGTAGTAGAAATAGTAATAGTGGTAACAGTGGTAGTACTTGTGGTAGTAGTAGTAGTAGTAGTAGTAGTAGTAGTAGTAGTAGTAGTAGTAGTACGGGTGTGGTAGTTGTGGTAGCCGTAGTAGCTGTAGGCATACGAGTAGCAGTAGTAGTCGTAGCCGTAGTAGTGGTGCGAAGTAGTAGTAGCAGTGGTAGCGGTAGTAGTAGTAGTAGTAGTAGTAGTAGTAGTAGTAGTAGTAGTAGTAGTAGTAGTCGGTAGTAGTAGTAGTAGTAGTAGTAGTAGTAGTAGTAGTAGTAGTAGTAGTAGTAGTAGTAGTAGTAGTAGTAGTAGTAGTAGTAGTAGTAGTCGTCGTAGTAGTAGTCGTAGTCGTAGTAGTAGTAGTAGTAGTAGTAGTAGCAGTAGTAGTAGAAGCATCAATAATAATAAGAATAATGTTAGTAGTTGTAATACGGGTAATCGTATCAGTCGAAGCCGTAGCCGCCGTAGTAGCAGCAGCAGCAGCAGCAGCAGCAGCAGCAGTAGTAGTAGTAGTAGTAGTAGTAGTAGTAGTAGTAGTAGTAGTAGTAGTAGTAGTAGTAGTAGTAGTAGTAGTAGTAGTAGTAGTAGTAGTAGTAGTTCGTAGACGTAGCAGTAGTAGGCGTAGTAGTAGTAGTAGCAGTGGTGTCAGTAGTAGTAGTGGTAGTAGCAGTAGTCATAAAAGTAGTAGTAGTAGTAGTAGTAGTAGTAGTAGTAGTAGTAGTAGTAGTAGTAGTAGTAGTAGTCGTAGTCGTAGTAGTAGTAGTAGTAGTAGTAGTAGTAGTAGTAGGAGTAGTAGTAGTAGTAGGAGCCTTCGTAGCAGCATTAGCAATCGTAGTAGACGAAATAGCAATGATAGTAGTAGTAGTAGTCGTAGTAATAATAATAGCAATCGTAGTCGTAATCGTAGTAATGGTAGTAACAGTCGCAGTAGTAGTGGTAGTGGTGGTTGTAGTAGTAGTAGTAGTAGTAGTAGTAGCAATAGTAGTCGCCGTATTGGTAATCAGAATGGTGATAGAAAAAAATAAAAGTCGTAGTAGTAGTAGTCGGAATAATACTAGTATTCGCACTCGTAAAATCAGTAGTAGTCGCAGTAGTAGCAATAGTATAGTAGTAGTAGTAATAGTAGTAGCAGTAGTAGCAGTAGCAATGGCAATAGTAGTAGTAGTAGGAGTAGTAGCCGTAATAATTGCAATCATGGTCCTGGTAGTCGTGGTAGCACGAGCAGTCGAAACAGTGACGGCAACAAGCAGCAGCAATAGTGGCGGCAGTAGTAATAGCATCCATACCAGGAGCAGCAACATCAGCAGCAGCAGCAGGAGTGGTAGCACTGGTAGTGGTAGTGGTAGCGGTAGTGGTATTAGTACCAGTAGTAGCAGTAGCAGTAGTAGTAGTAGTAGTAGTAGTAGTAGTAGTAGTAGTAGTAGTAGTAGTAATAGTAGTCGTAGTAGTCGTAGTAGTAGTAGTAGTAGTAGTAGTAGAAGAAGTGGTAGTAGTAGTAGTAGTAGTAGTAGTAGTAGTAGTAGTAGTAGTAGTAGTATTAGTATTCGTAGTAGTAGTAGTAGTAGTAGTAGTAGTAGTAGTAATAGTCGTGGTAGTAGTAGAGGTAGTAAAAGTAGTAGTAGTAGTAGTAGTAGTATTAGTGGTAGTAATACTAGTAGTGGTCGTAGTGGCAGTAGTAGTAGTGGTAGTCGTCGTAGTAGTAGGAAAAGTAGTAGTAGTATAGTAGTCCGAGTCGCACTAGTAGCAGTAGTAGTAGTAGTAGTAGTCGTAGTAGTAGTAGTAATAGTAGTAGCAGTCGTAGTAATAGTAGTAGTAGTAGTAGTAGTCGTAGTAGTAGTAACAGTAGTAGTAGTAGAACGAGAAGAAAACGTAGGGCCCGTAGTAGTCGTAGTCAAAGCAGTAGTAGTAGTAGTAGTAGTAGTAGTAGTTAGTAGTAGTAGTAGTAGTAGTAGTAGTAGTAGTAGTAGTAGTAGTAGTAGTAGTAGTAGTAGTAGTAGTAGTAGTAGTAGTAGTAGTAGTAGTAGTAGTAGTAGTAGTAGTAGTAGTAGTAGTAGTAGTAGTAGGAATACTATAGACGCAGTAGTAGCAATACTCGTAGCAACAATCGTAGTAGTCGAAGTAGTCGTAATAGTAGTAGTAGTAGTAGTAATAATAATACTAGCAACACTAGTAACAGTAGTTGTAATACTAGCAACAGCAGTAGTCATAGTAGTCTTGAGAGCAACAGTAGTTGCAAGAAAAGTAGTAGTTGTAATACTACTAGTAGCAGTAGTCGTATCAGTCGTGATAGCAGCAGCAGTCGTAGTAGTAGTAGTAGTAGTAGTAGTAGTAGTAGTAGTAGTAGTCTTAGTAGTAGTAGTAGGAGTAGTAGTAGTAGTAGCAGTAGTAGTAGTAGTAGTAGTCGTAGTAGTAGTCGTAGTAGTAGTAGTAGTAGTAGTAGTAGTAGTAGTAGTCGTAGTAGTAATAATAATCGTAGCAGTATGGGTGGCAAGTAGTTGAAGTAGTCGTCATAATGGTAGTGGTAGTGGTACTCGTGATCGCAGCAAGCGTCCTCCGATTCGGCCCCATCGGGCCTGTTGGACAGGACCTATCGGTGGGACACCATGGGTGGGACCCTGCGGGCTCCTTCTGGGGGCCGGCGGAAAGGCGTAACAACCATACAGACGAGCGTGACCGACAAGCGTTGACGGGTCGTTGTCCTACTCCTACTCCTCCTCCTCCTCCTCCCACTGCTGCTGCTACTACTACTACTGTTATGGCTACTACAATTTCTACTGCTGCTACAACTACGACTACGACTACGACTACGACTACGACGACGACGACTACTACTACTACTACTATACTACCACTACTACTGCTACTACTGCTGCTGCTGCTACTACTACTACTACTACTACGGCTACTACTCGTGCTAATACGAAGGTGGTAATGCAACGACTACGGCTACTACGATTACTCTTACTACTGCGACTACTGCTACTAGGATTAGCACTAGTACTAGTACTAGTAGTAGTACTACTGCTACTACGACTACGACTACTACTGCTACTGCTACTGCTACTGCTACTGCTACTACTACTACTACTAGTACTAGTACTACTACTACTACTACTACTAGTACTAGTACTAGTACTAGTACTAGTACTAGTACTAGTACTAGTACTAGTACTAGTACTAGTACTACTACTACTACTACTACTACTGCGGCTACAACTACAACTACAAGTACAACTGCAACTTCAACTACAAATACAACTACAACAACATCAACTACTACTACTACTACGATACTACCACTACTACTGCCACTACTGCTGCTGCTGCTACTACTACTACTACTAGTACTACTGCTACGACCACGCTAACTACTCGTGCTAATACCAAGGTGGTAATACAACGACTACGGCTACTACGATTACTCTTACTACTACGACTACTGCTACTAGTATTAGCACTAGTACTAGTACTAGTAGTACTACTACTGCTACTACGACTGCTACTGCTACTGTTACACTGCTACTGCTACTACTACTACTACTACTACTGCTACTACTACTACTACTAGTGCTACTGCTACTACTACTAGTACTAGTACTAGTACTAGTACTACTACCACTACTACTACTACTACCGCTACTACTAGTACTACTACTACTACTACTACTACTACTACTACTACGATACTACGATACTACGATACTACCACTACCACTACTACTACAACTACAACTACAACTACAACTACAACTACAACTACAACTTCAACTACAACTACAACTACAACTACAACTACAACTACAACTACAACAACAACAACAACACCTACTACTACTACTACTACTACTACTACTACTACTACTACTACTACTACTACTACTACTACTACTACTACTACTACTACTATTAATGGTACCACCACTACTACTACAATTACTGCTACTGTTACTATTACTCCGAATACCATTATCATTACTACGCTTACGACTACTATTACTAACGCTACGGCTACCCAAGCGGAGTTTGTAGATGCGGCTGCGGGCGCCCGCGGGCGGCCCAAAATTTGCTCCCCAGTTGGGATTGCGAGTGCGGTTGAGGTTGCAGTTGCAGTCGCCCGCGGCGGCCGACAATAGTTCCCCCTGTTTCGATTGCGGCTGCGGGCCCAGTTGAGGCCCTCAACCGAAACGAGGCCCCGCCCGCAGACGCTCCCAAACCACGTGCTTTCACTGGCTTCGGCTCCAGGCGAGGCTGTGGGCGCAGTTGAGGTTGCAATCGCCTGCGGGCGGCCCAGAATGTGTTCCCCAGTTGAGGCTGAAGGTGCGATTGTTCCTTGCACCGCTCCTCCTCCTCCTTCTCCTCCTGCTCCTCCTCCTCCCTACCCCTTCCTGTGGCCCAACGCGTGTTCCTGGGTCGCAGTTGCGGGTTGCGGGTTGCGGTTGCAGGTTGCGGGTGCGGGCGCCCGCGGGCGGCCCACACTGCCTTCCCCGATGATGGCTTCGGTTGTGGTTGCGGGTGCGGATGCTGGTGCACTGGCGGCCACAATCACCCCCGGGCGACACAACATGTGTTCCCTGGCTTCGGGCGCGGTCGCATGTGCGCGACCCGCGGGCGGCCCAAAATGTGTTTCCACGTTCGAAGTTGTGGGTGCGGTTGCGGGCGCGGGTTGAAGCTCCCGAAGGGTCCGCTGGCGGACGTCGATTAGTCAGTCACTGGCGGGCACAAAATTACACCCATCCCCGCTGGGAGCACATATGCAAGCGATAAGCGCGATGTATTGCGTGCAACCTCCACGAAGGCCGTGCGAAAGACTCCCGTCAAGTTGGTAGGTTAAGACATTTCATGCGGCGACGGGTGTACTCCGCGCATGTGGCCCACGCGCGCTGCCGCGCCTTCCCCTTTGATCCTGTAAATCCGAGGGAGATGTCCAGAGCATCAGGAGACGTCCTCCTGGAAAGGCCGGCGCATGTCTGAAGGGCGACCTTGTCATCGCCATCATCAACACCAGCATCATCATCAGCAGCCGCAGCAGCCGCATCAGCATCAGCAGCATCATCCTTATCCTCATCCTCATCACCATCTGCATGTTGAACTCTTCATCATAGATACTACCATCACAAACCAAGATCACTTAAACTCGTCATCATCGTCATCTTCATCGCCGTCGTTATCATCATCGTCGTCATAACTACAATCCCCACCAATCGTCAACACCCAACCATTCACCATCGAACATCACCACCAACCACCAACAAAAATCACCGTTGCCACCATCGTTGTCATCGTCGTCATCACTGTAATGTTCACCATTGCCATCGCCGTCATCGTCATAGCCATCACCATCACCGTCACGGCTGTCACAAGAACCGTCCCCTTACCCATCCTCCTCTCCCCTGCGGTCGCGGGGCCACGCAGCCGAAACCCTTCATCTGGCAGCAGTCCGCAAGCCCCTGCCTCTTCCAGGGATGCATGGGCGTTACAGGGAGCGCCAGACAAGCCGAAAAAGGGAGGGGTCCCGAGGGGGGGGAATGGGCAGCGGAACTGGGGTGCTGGCTTAAGGAAGGGAAAAACATCGACCACGAATCAAAAATATACCGACAACAAACCGGCCAGCGATGGACCCCCGACAACACAATCGCGCCGGCCCGGGGGGCCATGGGAGACAATTGCTTCCCTTCCCCACGTCGCCCCCTGAAAACCCCCGTCCCAAAGAGTCGGCGTCACGGAAGAATCCTGACGGCTAGTTGTGCTAGCGTCTAGGCCCTTAGAGGCCCGCTTCGAGTCTCGGGGTCAGGACATGATCTGAACGCGACCCAACTTAGGAATAGGCACGCATGAGCAATACATCGCAGTACAGTGCAACGCGAAGAGGTGCCATGCAATGCAAAGTCTAGCACAACATAACAATGAGCAGCTCAGCCTCGCCGATCAAATCATGGCACGCTAGCGTTCTGTAGCATTGAGCAGCGAATGTTCTAAAACAGCCAGTCGGGTGATAAAGGGATTCGGGCGATGGGTGCATTCTTAAATTTGCGATTGAAGTCGGATCGGAATCGCGATCAAATTATCAAACGATCGCGATGATCGCGACATACGATGTATATCCATCTCCCCATGTACCGGTATCGCTACTTACACGTGGCCCTCACGATCAAAGTCCGCGGGCCCTGTCGGCGTGGCGTGTGTGAAGCGCTGTTCCGCTCCGTTCTCGTCGTCGTTTTCGTCGTCGCCGTCGCCGTCGCCGCTGTCCTCCCGTTTCTCTAACCCGTCGCACAGTTCTCCTGCGCCCGTCGCAGCTTTCCTGGTCCTTTTCCTGAGCCCTTCTCCCCGAGCTCGCCAGCCAAAACCAGAGTGGGGAACGTCGCAAACCAGGTCAAAGTACCATGCCCCACAAGGGGTCCCATGGCCCACAAATTCCCCAAGACGGGCCAAGAGTGCCCCAAGAGGATGTCAAGACGGTCCACGAAGGCCACGGATCGCCGAACGAGAGGTCCAGTCAGTCAGTCAGTCAATCAGTCAAGCCAAGCGCCACGCAACGGCTCATCGACAGGGAGTCGACATGAGCACGGGTGGCTCACATATTTTGATATATATATATATATACACATATATATGTATATACGGTCCGGCACACGCGTGACAGTCGCGCGAAAGCCTGCGTGCTTGCCAAAGACAAAGGCCGGGAGAACGGGGAAGGTGGTAGGGGAGGGAGGGAGGGAAGGAGGGAGGGAGGGGAGAGAAGAGACACAAATCCTGCAATAATGCATGTTGGAAAACGGATGTGGCCCACTATACATGGGGACGCCCACACCTACGGTGATTATGCAGTGTTTTGGGCCTTCGCCCCCCATGTGCAAATGAATATCGCAGCAATTTCTATCTTCGGATGAACCTGCGATTATGTTATACAGCTTGATTCGTCTTTCAAAATAGCCCCCGCTCAATAATCTTATGTGTGCTTGTTCCCGTACGTGCTGGTTGGAAAGTATGCGGTGATGCGCGCGCGATGCTTTTAATATTTGTCGCAAGTGCGCCGCTTGGAAACCATCCAACCCATTGCGATCTGCTTGACGTAGCCAAGACATGATTCCAGGTGATATACCAACATTGGGAGTACAACGGCGCACAGAAATGCTTGAGTCTCCAACATTTTTGGCTAAGGTGGGGTAGGCCCCATACTCGGCTTTGCCCTGTACGTTGTCACGAAAAGTATTGGCCTCTTCGGTGCGGTTCTTGAGCTTTCCATCGCGGGTGTGCGCCAAGAACTCGTTTTGCTGGATCCCGTACTCGGCCTTGGACGGTGTATCCTTCGGGCACGGCGTGAGCGCGTCGCTCGCGCTGCCGTCCTCGCTCTCGGCCACATGGCTCACCTGGTCGAATGCTGGGGGCGACGGAGGAAGCAACCCCGATACTGAACTCCGTGCAGACCCGAGTTGACGATCCGACTGTTGGATGGCGGTGGCAAGCGCAGCCAGCGCCGCTGAAGTCAAGCCGCAAGACAAAGGCGGAACTGGCGGCCGAACCTTCGAATGAGAAATGACCAACATTGGTGTTGTCGGCGTTGGTACTGGCGAGTCGGGCGTCGGGTTCAAATTGCGCTGACCGCGCTCGCGCTGTTGGTCCCAGGGCGCGAGCTCAGAGTCGTTCGGCACACCACGCTTGTTCACTACTACTGGCGGCTTGGTGCCTGCAGCACCTGCTGGAGTACGGATATTCCCTTGAGTTCCAGTGCCAGAGCCACAGCGCCTCCCCCTACTGCTCTGGGAGCCCATGATCGCACTCGAGATAGGGGCGCCCGTCCCATTTTCCTCATTCGTCTCGGCGGTGCCCCCATCTGCAACCCAGCGAAACACTTCGCTCGGTCGGCCTCCGACGGCGGTCTGGTCGAGGCGCTGCAGCGTTCGAATTTGGGAGCAGGTGAACCGCCGAGAAGCCCTCTCCCTGCGAGAGCAGAAAAACCCGGAGTCGCTCGCGTCGTCGATGAACGCGTAGTAGAGCCTGTGCTTCCCGCGCTCGTCGTTGCCCCGCGTCTCGCGTGGCTCGAGCTCGCCGTGTCTTGGGCGACAGAGTAAGCTGTTGGAGCCAAATCCTGATTTGATCTTCTGTAAGCAGCGCGCCTTCGTAGAAGTACTCGGTTCCTGCAATGAGATTGGGCGCCACCTGCTCGGGGTCGAGGGTCGCGGGCATGGGCGGGATGGCGTGCGCCGCGACGTCGTCCTTGAGGGAGGTAATGCTCTTGGCCGCCGAGATAAGGGCGCGCTCGGAGTCGAGGAACCCAAGGCACTCCTCTCCGGCGCTGCCGCGCCTCGCGCAGCAAGTCGAGCTGCCCTGAACAAGGCCGGAACTCGGCGAGAGAGCGCCCTGAGTATATCCCAAAGGAAGAAGAGGGGGAGGTTGGAAATGCGCCCCCCCCCCCCCCCCTGTCCTCGCGCAGAAGCGCGCGCCGCGACCCGATGATGCGATCCGAAGGCTGTTGAAGCCGCTGAGTGCCGCTAGGATGCGACGCCACTAGCAATGCGCCAGATCCAACATGGAGAATGAGGGAAGAACGGGGGCGCACCAGATGGCCACGGCGAGCTCGGGCCCCAATGGCGCCGGCGGCGCGCGAGTTGGGGGGGCAGCACCAGCGGCAATTGCATTGGCTGGAGCGGGGCGAGCAACGACCCGTGGGCCCTCTGGGTTCCAAACAGGAATGGCGCCCACTTCGGCCGCGATTCGGGCCGAGCCCAGCTGCGGCGATCCGAGCCCAGCTGCGGCGACGACCAGGGCCGCGCCTTCCCCGGCGCCCGAAGCAACGAGAAGATGAGAGCGGAGGACTGCTCATCGAGCCCCCCCCTGAGATCCCCCCCCCTCGTCCGCCCCCCGCGCCCAATTTCTCGGCCCCGCCCTTCCCTTTCCCGCCCCGCGTCCTCCCTCGCCCTGCCCCTGCCCCCCCCCCTGACTCCTCGCGATCATCATCCTCGACCTCATCTTTGCTTGGCGCCAGATCTCCGCCGCCCTCTCTCAACCCTCATATTTGGCGCGTCTTCTGTTGGCTACTGGTGGGGTCGGGCTGTGCGTGGCTGGGCGACTGCGTCGTGGTTTAAGTCTGCGGCTGTAGGATTTCGATTCTCGGCGCTGACGACACCCCCTTGGCTCCACTCTTGTTCTGCGTGATCCGACTGAGGTTGCCCCCCCCCTTTCCCTCGCTGCGACGAACGCCGTCGGCCCAGAGGCCGCCGCCTAGAAGACAAGGCCCAGCGCTGCATAATGACTAGTACTGGGGTCGGCGGGGGAAATTGGTCGAGCGAGCCCCCGCGTGGAGAATGAATGCGCTGCGCCGACGGTTCATATCTGGATCGTAATGCGTAGTATTCCCATTTGGGCTGATCACTCTTGCTCGCAACAGAAATCGCCGCGGCCTCCTGGCCATCGCCCCCTGGGTTTTCCCTGCGTCGCCGGGGGGCGCGCCGGGTTCTATGGGGGGCTACGGGAGGCGAGTCGCTCCTTTGACCGCCATTGGCTGCCATTCGGTGTTCAGCGAGTCCTCCGCGAAGTGCGTCTGCCTCTACAGCCTGCTGGCGCTGCTCACACTTGTCGCCGCTGAACCCGTCGAACTCCTTGAATATTTCCATGGTGGGCACCATGGCGATCCGCGCGACGTCGAGCCCTGTCAGAGACTCGGGGGGTGCGAAGTCGACCGATTTTTCCCGCGGCGCCCGCTGTTCAACTTCCCCTGGGAAGTCGTCGCGCCGTAGGCAGCTCCGCCCGCCTGGGCGTCGCCGGCAAGTGTGCCGCGTAGATCGGCTCCAGCGCCATCCCCGTCTCCGTGGGCGCCCTCGCCAACCTGCTCCCCGGGCACGCCGCGGCGCGCCTCGGGGTCGTCGGCAATGGGCAGCGCTGCGTCGACGTCCTCAAGAGGAAGCGGGGCGTGGGTAGCCATCGGGGCAGGCCGCCTCGAGGCATGGTCAGCCTTAGGCTTGGATCCACCGTTCCCCTCTGAAACCCATAGCTTGATTGTGTTGGAGAAAAGGCCATGGCAATGCTCCGACAAACCGAACTGGTTGATTGCCAATCCCATGCCGAACCACCTGTTCCGCGCATTCTTCTTGAATACCCGCGGGCACACGGATAATGCAAGCCCTGAGACGACGCGAGAGGCCCACGCTTCCTCCTCGTTCTTGTCGAAGAAAAGGCGCGGACAACACGTGTGCACATTATCTCGGCTCCGCCAATCGCCATGCGGAAACATGAGAAGAACCGCCAAACGTTCGATGAGAACATGTTCAGCGCGCTCATGCACTGCCAATGCTTAGGGCCTGGCTCACCCACGACAAAACGAATTCGTCGACCTTATTCCGGCTTCCAAGCGCTTCCTTACTTGAGCCATGGTGCTCGCCAGCTCAGTTGCCAAACGCGGGGGCCACGAGATGGGCGTGGCAATCGAGGTATCTGTGTTGCCCGGCTGGTC